TATTTCTGAAAAAAATATATATAGAATTACATTTTTATTAAAGCATAACTTTTCAAATAAAAAAAATATTTTTTATAAAAAGTATTTGTAAAATACATTTTTTTGCTAATTTTCTACTTTAATTAATTAATTAATAGACTATTTAAATTTAACAAAATATTAATACTAATTTCTGATTTATAAAATTATTTTTTAAAAATTAAATTATAATAAATAAAATAGCAGATGATTAATTATTTAAAAAAAGATAATTTTATTATAAATAATTCTTTGATGTATCTCAACGCTACAAATTAACTGAAATTTCGTATTATTAATTTAAACTGAAAGTACAAACAACTTATTATTAATATTGTATTAAATTTATGCAATTATTAAATATCTAAAATTGTGTCCAAAAATTATCAATAAAGTTTTCAAATATAATTTAACCATAAATATTTAACGAAAAGACATCTGTTGTGATTAGATAGAATCTTCTATAGACATTCGAATTCTTGTATAAGTTAGATTAGAGTGGATTGAATTGATGGGATAAGGCGCAACACGTGTAGGGCAGTCGCTTTTTAAACTAATGAAATACATAGAACATTTCTTTATTTATGAAAATCAATCTTGACAATTCTATTTTCTCTTAGTAAAAATAACATTAACTTTATAGGAGTAGGAGCCACTATGGGCTCATAAGTTTTTCTCCGAGCTCTCTAACTCTTCCCCTTTCGACGACCCTGAATACATCGGCGATCTGTCAAGAAGAGTATCTTCCGGAAAGACTTTCTTTGAGAAATTGGACGTTATTTAAATGCTAAATACGCGAAGAAATCCCGGAAACTCCTCGCGACCAGTCCGTTGACCAGATGCGAACCCACGACCAACTCCTAAAGTTCAGTGATTTTGTTCACTCGGAAACTGTTTATACGAATTAATATATCGCCCGATGTTATCTAAGTAATATAAATCTCTATATAAAATATTTAAATTAGATATAAAAACAAAAATTTTTTAATTAAAAATATTTATGACAAGGATAACTAACACGGCTTTTAATTTGGCTTATTCTAAAAAAATTTATTATTAAAAAGCGAATATTTTAAAATATAAAACTAATATTTTTTTATAATTTTTTAAATTTTATTATTACTAAAATTTTTAATTTGTTATTTCTATAATTAATGAATGGTATATTTTTGAAATTATAAGTGTCTGTATATTTTTTCCACTGAATATTTTTTTATGTTGAAGTTTATTTTGTTAAACTTTGTTCAGTTAAAATAGATACCGTATACCTTCGAGCAGTCTCTTAAGAGAAAACCCATGATCATTTATTTATCTTTTGATCCGAAAACTCATTAATCTAATTGGTTAAATCATTTATTCTCGAATGATTTTCATATTTAACGTAAGTATATTTTTTTATGTCAAAAAGTTTCCAATATTATTAAAACGAAAAGAATAATTTAATATTAAAAAACATATATGTTTTAAATTTTCATTAAAATCAAATTATTATACAGAAAATATATATATATATATAAACTTAACTATTTCAATACGTATACAGAAAAAAATAAAAAATTTAATAAGTGTTTTTCAGAAAAAAATTCAATTAGATGAATCTAAATGAACTGTGACTATAAAATTTGATAAATTGATCTAAATTTTTATATATTTTGCTTTCGGAGAAAAAATTCTTTCTACATTCGATATTTAAGTTTAAAAAAAAAACAAACCGTGAAGTGTTTTTTAAATAAGTATAAGCAAAATGAGTTCATTTTAAAGAAGTTCGCGTGAGCAATCAATTACTGTTTCTGTGTTGTATATTTTATGGAGTGTAAACGTCGTTTCAATTAACGATGTGTGAAGAGAAGAAAATTGACCACAAGGCATCAGTCGACCGTTATGAAGAATCTTCCAACCGTCGCCTTTACCAAGCTGCTTAGTTCCGAGACTAAAACTTCTTATTTCCACCTTTACCGTGTCAACTAACTTCTGGAACTTTGCCAAAGTCATTCGAATGTCACAGCTGATCGTGACGCATCACGATCACGATCAGCTTTAGGCTTTATTTTTCTGTATAAGACGTCATTTTACAAACCACAACAACTTAACTTCTCTCTCGATTTTGAATAAGTATTTAAAAAAAAAAAAAANTTTGAGAAATTGGACGTTATTTAAATGCTAAATACGCTAAGAAATCCCGGAAACTCCTCGTGACCAGTCCGTTGACCAGATGCGAACCCACGACCAACTCCTAAAGTTCAGTGATTTTGTTCACTCGGAAACTGTTTATACGAATTAATATATCGCCCGATGTTATCTAAGTAATATAAATCTCTATATAAAATATTTAAATTAGATATAAAAACAAAAATTTTTTAATTAAAAATATTTATGACAAGGATAACTAACACGGCTTTTAATTTGGCTTATTCTAAAAAAATTTATTATTAAAAAGCGAATATTTTAAAATATAAAACTAATATTTTTTTATAATTTTTTAAATTTTATTATTACTAAAATTTTTAATTTGTTATTTCTATAATTAATGAATGGTATATTTTTGAAATTATAAGTGTCTGTATATTTTTTCCACTAAATATTTTTTTATGTTGAAGTTTATTTTGTTAAACTTTGTTCAGTTAAAATAGATACCGTATACCTTCGAGCAGTCTCTTAAGAGAAAACCCATGATCATTTATTTATCTTTTGATCCGAAAACTCATTAATCTAATTGGTTAAATCATTTATTCTCGAATGATTTTCATATTTAACGTAAGTATATTTTTTTATGTCAAAAAGTTTCCAATATTATTAAAACGAAAAGAATAATTTAATATTAAAAAACATATATGTTTTAAATTTTCATTAAAATCAAATTATTATACAGAAAATATATATATATATATAAACTTAACTATTTCAATACGTATACAGAAAAAAATAAAAAATTTAATAAGTGTTTTTCAGAAAAAAATTCAATTAGATGAATCTAAATGAACTGTGACTATAAAATTTGATAAATTGATCTAAATTTTTATATATTTTGCTTTCGGAGAAAAAATTCTTTCTACATTCGATATTTAAGTTTAAAAAAAAACAAACCGTGAAGTGTTTTTTAAATAAGTATAAGCAAAATGAGTTCATTTTAAAGAAGTTCGCGTGAGCAATCAATTACTGTTTCTGTGTTGTATATTTTATGGAGTGTAAACGTCGTTTCAATTAACGATGTGTGAAGAGAAGAAAATTGACCACAAGGCATCAGTCGACCGTTATGAAGAATCTTCCAACCGTCGCCTTTACCAAGCTGCTTAGTTCCGAGACTAAAACTTCTTATTTCCACCTTTACCGTGTCAACTAACTTCTGGAACTTTGCCAAAGTCATTCGAATGTCACAGCTGATCGTGACGCATCACGATCACGATCAGCTTTAGGCTTTATTTTTCTGTATAAGACGTCATTTTACAAACCACAACAACTTAACTTCTCTCTCGATTTTGAATAAGTATTTAAAAAAAAAAAAAAAATAGATTTAATTCCAAAATTTCTTCCTTATTTTTTCAAATTTGAAAACTTATTTTTTTATTTTTAAATTTATATTTTAAATTCAAATGTATTCTATAGAAAAATTTAAGGAAAAAAAAACTAATTCGAAAGAGCAAAATAAATAAAAAACTGAAGTTTATATTGATTTATTCAAAAGAATTATTATAAATAATATTAATTCAAATATATTATACGAATATATATGTATACGTATGCTTTGAATTATCATTAGAGTATTTATTGATCCCATAAAACTGATTTGATTCCTTTTTAAAATAATAAGTAACTAAATATGAATTTTATATTTCATACAATGCAACATATAACAAATAAGAAATATCTAAAATTATGTTATTCACGGAATATCAAATACATTTTTAAAATTGATGAAACTAATCACTGTTGTACTAATGTTATAACAATAGTTACAACATTATGGTGTACTAATTGTCATATCACGTATGTTTCAAACGTAGTTAGAGTTTTCTAGCAGATAATACTTGATTTTTCTCATAAAGAAATAAATAAATAAAAGTAAAGAGATAATGCTCGAAAGAACATTTGGCTTAAGAAGAGAAAAATATTCAAAAAGTCGCCATCATACAAAAATCAATAACTTTAATTATTGATTGAAGAATATTGATTTTTCAGAAATGTTAAAAAGACTTCCTGCTCAAATTTCGTTAATAATATATATTTTTTTCGAAATAAATCTTATTTACTTTCTTTTTTTAACTTAAATAGACAAATTGTCAATGAAAAAACACAAATCTAGTCATCATTATTCAATTTATATAATTGGAAAGAATACGTTGCATTAAATTATTAATAATGCTAAATATTAATATTTGTACTACCGCATATAATTATTAAAAAACATTTTTAACGCTTTATTTTTTTTTATAAGATTCCGTCTTTGGTACATACTAAATTTGAATAGTTGAATGTATAGTAGAGATGAAATATTCATGGAAATATACCGAAGTCGTCTTCTATAGAGCTGTCAACGAGAAGATTTTAAAAAAAAATATTTCAGTATTTCTGACTTTAGTTTTCTACAGTATTATGTATCGATTACTTTAACATTTATACTATATACAACTACTCTAATATATTACGATTACTCTTTAGTATGCGTCAGAGACTGGTTTCGCATTGCGTAATGGACTGATCGTATAATTCGCCACATTAGGCAATGCGAATTGTCGCAAATGTATATTTTAACCTTAAAAATATTTTATAGAATAAAGTAAATTCTTAATATTATTATGCTATATATATCATGCTTTCCACGCTAAACGAAGTGATGCGCTTTTGCATTCTACATAAGAATGATTCTATTATTATTATTTTTTCGTTTCTTTTTTGTAATAAAGTCCTAGTTTTAATAAAGTTATTTATTAAATAATTTTTAAATTAATGTTTTAAAATTATTTCGGATATTTTAAGCAACTTACTAAGCTCTCCGTGGTATTAATGTAATAATATCGATATTCTCCGTGAGGTTCCAGAAGCCAATGTGCAGCCCACGTATGTTGATCACTGGTCAAAGTTGGATTCATGTCCAATACTAGATACATATTACGAGCATGAAGTTCATCGATTAATGCATTTAAATCTTCCATTCTTCCGAGATGAGGATCGACATTAATGAAATCAATAATATGTTCGTACTCCAAGGGATAATCCAAAGCACTGAAGATGGAACTGAGTCTTAAAATACTAATATTTAATGACTGAATGTAATCGAGACGTTGGATTAAACCTCTAAAATCACCGAAATCGTCTTTGTCCGTATCTAAGAAGGAAGCAGGGAATACTTCGTACATCACAGCACCTTGCCACCACTCCCTGTTAGGATTGCAATGGAATGGACCCACTATTATAATTCCAACCACAACACATACCATAGCTACTAACGAAGACACTAATGTCACCAAACATCCGAGACGGATAACAGGCCAATTCCACCGCAAAATGCCAACATCCGATGATGAATTCTGTATCGATACCTGTTGGACTCTAAGGGGACATCTAGATGGTTTTAAATCCGAAGGATAAGTTCTATGTTGCAAATTTCTTGTAGATAACCGTTCGTGTTCTAAAAGATGTGTTGCACTTCCTGGCTCGAGACCATCACTTTCTGTCGAAGACCCTATAGAAGCCATAGTGACGGGAGGATGATCGTAGGGATCTAACTTAGTGGTTTGCATGGTAAAAGGGTCCATTCTATTACAATGCATAGCATTTGGAGGGTTAAAGCGAAGATAAGTTGACTCGGTAATGGCGGAAACTGAAGGGATGACATTCGATTGTGTTAAATCTAGTAACACGTCCGAATGGTCTTGTCTCATAAACGACTGCATACCAGAAATACAGTCAGATGTTAAAGAAGAATCGTATTCTGATGCAAATGCCGCATTGTCGATGGCAGTGAATAGTGATGAACGTTTCGAGTTGTTCTCTCTGTTGGACATCTGAAAAATAAACATTTTTTTTTATAAAAGTAAACTTGTATACAAGCAAAGCGTAATATTATTAANTTATAATAAAAATTATAAATTGTTTTCAAAATTAAACTTATAAATAATCTTTTATAAGATGTAAATTGGGAAATAAAATTCTCCCTTTATTCAATACAACTTAAGTTTTGTCTTTTCAGCACTTTTTACTTTTTCAGATTACTTTTTTCTTCTTTGATGAATGGCAAATGTAAAAAATTCAATTTTAAAATAAATGAAAAATATAATAAATATTTCTCTAAAAATACATTCTAATTCTAAGTCAGGTGTCTAAGACAGCATTAAATTTTTTTTACATACATCGTACTTTACATATGAATATTTTAATATTTAATACTAAATTTATGAATTAGATCTTTCATTTGTTATGCCAAATTAATAATAAGAATAAAAATTATTAATTAAAATATATTATTTTTAATTATGTGTATATCTTATTACAATATATATGTAACATTACGACTATTAAATAATTTTGCTTATAGGATAAAATATATCTTAGTAAAGGAATTAAATATTAAAGATAATCCAATTAGTTTTAAAAGTAGAAAAATCTTTAGAAAAACTAAGCCAATACATTTCTTAATTCGAAAAATAAAAACTATTTAATAATTTATGACAGGAATAAGCGGATTAGTTTAATTTCTTATAAGTTACTGGATACACATATATCGATCATTTGAATTTCTCGCTATGTAGATTAGTTTCAAGTTAAAGAAATCAATATTAGATCTAATAATTGTCGTATTTATTCCTTACGTCGCATAGATTATTTTCATTATTTTAAATAGTATCTTACTAAAGTTGTTGTTTTAAACTCGAAAAATAACCAAACTCACTCAGAGTTTATAGCATAAGTAATAGAGTAAATGAGAATAAAAATGAGGAAAAACAGACCGTGACCAATATAATTGGTGAACAGGAAATTGTTTAATGTAAGTGTATAGATATTTACAAAAATATATCTTAGTAAAGGAATTAATCTATACACGTACAGTACTTTAAATAATGCTTAAATTTTTAGTTTCAATCACTTAGTTTTAATAAATTCTGATAAATACCATAGAAACATAGAAACAATCTGATGATAGAAATACACGATTTTAATTCAATTCTTTAAAAACCAAGAGGAGTATTTTATTAATAATTGTGATAAATGTTTCTTGGTATATTATTTTACTATTTTTATGCAAAATCTCGTGTTTACTTTCGAATTTCAGTAGAGAGATCATTAGATAACTTACTCTTTATTAACGAGAAATGTATTAAATATGATTTAATTAAGGAAATATTATATAATATTAAAAGTTGATTTAAGTGATAAAATAATTTAAAGTTGCTAATGGTTTATAATATAGCTTTTTGAATAATATGAGATAAATTACATAATGTAAATTAGTATCACGCTGTTTCTGCTATCAACGACACTTGATAAGGCGATAAAAAATAAATGTTAAATGAGAAAACGAATTAAAGGGGGGTCGGGTGTCATTCAATTTGTAATTAATACTTAAATACTATAAATATAATTTGTGTTAAAAAAATGTACCATTTTTTAAACAGCTATAACAAGGTTATCATTATATTAAAGATTTAATTAAAAGCTAAATCTGTATTGCTGAAATTATTTTTAAAAATATATATTTTTTTGTTCATTAAATAAATAACTAAATCAAGTAGTAATATGTAATAGTAGAAGTTCTTATTTATTGAAAAAAAAAAGGATAAAAGAAGGGAAAAAATTCAAAGTTAAGAACGATGGCAAAACGCCAGAATATTGACGATGCAATCAGAGATGTGGAAAAAACACAACATCTTTTGGAATCGAGATCGAATCTATTGAGCAGACAAACGGTTCAAAAGTAAAGATTTCCTACCATAACCAGTTCCAATACTTACTCATTTCTGGAATTTTTTTACAAATTTTAAGTGACGTGTGATTTCAATAACCTTCGGATTATTTTTCCTGTTTTGATAGTAAGAAAGCGTTCCATTTCTACTTTAAATAAATTTACTTTTTCGATTTTTTTTATATTAAAAATTTAGCGTTTTACTCTATATAAAAGAGACAGAGATATTTATCATGCTGAACGATCGCTTATTAGATCAAGATTCTTCCTACGTATGTGTCATGATTAAATTTGCTTATTAACCTGTAAAACACGTGATTTATCATCTTCGAAGAAACGTTTTGACATCAAAGCATCCATATTAGAAAATGCATCCTAGTAAAAAATTAAACTTCGACTAGATTTTAATGCATCCTACTCGCAATTTCTGTCGAAAGGAAATTTATCGATGAGATAGTTGACAGAATTTATGAGGTTTTAAGAGCGAAACATCTAAAGGTTTTCGTCGGCATTACTTCATAAAGAAAATAGTCACAATTCTGTCAAGATGCCAACACTCCAAATACTCCAGATGTTACAGTATTTTTATTTAACTTATGAAAGTCTAAACAGATAACAAGGGTAACTTCGTCTTCTAAGTGAATTCGATTAGTTTGACATCTGTCGCTCCAATGATTGTATCGTTACTTTCAAAATGGGTTTGAAGGATAATGAGTTCGAAACTATCTTCCTCTCCATGCGAAGGCAAACGAGAAATTCATCAACCAGAAAAAAGCCGAATATCAAGAACTATATTCCACTTCATTGAGGATGTTGATTGATAATATCTAGACTAAGTACATATCAATAAGGTTCACGTAATTAACAATCGATTTCTCTTAAAACTTCATTATCTTTGATGAGACAAATCCAGGATCTAACAATTACTTGTAATTATAAGAGCTCCCATCATATAGATTTACTGGCTGTCGTATTAGAATATCATTTATCATTATTAGTCACGCTTTTGATCATCTCTAACCTTGAATATTAACTGTTTAAACATATATCTATGTCACTAGATTGTTTAGAAAATAGAGAAAGTAAGTGACATTGTATCATGCTTCCTGGATGACTTAACAATATGTAAAGCACTGTTCAACCTTGATGAGTGACCGTGATCTATTTTCCTCAATGTTTATAGGTCTAATAAAAGCTATAACACTGATCTACTTTTTAATAGTTTCGCTTAGATTTCATTCAATTTGTTCTACTTTCGACGTTCTCTGACCTATATTGTGTCAGTGTCGTTCTCTTTATACATTATATGACACAGCAAAACTTTTTATCAAATTTTAATCGAGGTAAAGGTAGAGTTGTTAGTCGGATAAACCAAATAAATAGACCTATATATTTAACTTCTGGAACATCAACTCATTGATCGTAACATGTTATAAAAGAAATAACCTTGTTAGAAGTCATCTTTTCCTATTTTAAAGGAAACTATATTGATTTTATATTCTTAATCATTTAAATTCCGATCAAATTGCGTAATTCATTCTTTATTTTATATAAAAAAATAAGTTTAAATTAAGAATAAATAAATTAATTTAAATTTAATAAGAAAGAAAATAATTGAATAGTTTATTTTAGATAAAAGTTACTTTCCAGTTAAACATATAAAAGGTTTAGCTTAAGTTGAAACGTTGAAGACATAATTGCAATTACCAAATCACAATTTAATTAATACTAATGAAGTGCTGTAATGTAGACGACTGTAAATTTAGTAATGTTTATGTAAACCGAAAACTGTAAAATGAAAATATTTGATGATTGAGATTAATTAGGAAAAGATGAATCCGTAAGAAAATTTATCGTTCGAATGCGTGATTAATGAATGTATATTCTCATCTATTTTAGTTTGAATTATTNAGCTCAACTAATACTCTCTTTCATTGATATAATTCTAACGATACAACTTGTCGAACTTAAAGAAAAGCATCAAACAATAGAATAGCTGAAAATGAAAAAGAACGAAGGGGAGGAAAAACTCAACAATCGTACGCGTTAGCCAATGCTAAGGGTACACAATCAAAGAATTGTAATTGCCATTTCGAAACATTAAGCTTTTAACTTTACTTTTCGATGGCTATTTTCATCCGTAACACCTTTGTATCTATCCGTCTGGACTATAATTAAATCGGATCGATCCATTGTCGGTGTACAAATGGTAGCTAAACATCCCATCGGGAACGATAGGTGTCTAATGATGATTGTTGCTGTACGATCGACGAACTAGCGACAATACAATTGAAACCATCATTAGCGAATTGCTTTCAAAATAATAAAGATCATCAGATACATTTCCGATCCATTTTCACATTAAATGCTGATATAAATTATCGGATTTGTTAGATTTTTTTATATTTTTTGAAGTTGTTCCCAATCCGAGAATGACATTTTCGAAATATCTCTGATATCGTCTAACACTTTCAATCATTTTCTCTATAACTGGAATAGCTAATATTACAGTTCTATACGGCTATGTATTCGATGAGATGTCAGAAGTTCAATTTCCTCTTCATTCAAACATTCTTGAATTACGTCAGTGATATGAAGACAGAAATTGTCATTCAAAGGAGGTGAAATTGTCATGCATAACTAGATTCGGTGTCAAAGACGAATATGGTCTAGCATCATCTAGTCCTATTCAAAATATTCTACAGCTCGTTAGAATTGATGCACTCCATTCAGTAGCGATGGAAATAATGTCAAGGCGAAAATATTCCACATTATATAATCGCTAGTCCAATTAAACAACTTGTTGGTTTGTTTTATAAGCATATTTTAAACATAGATGCTCAAATTATATAAAATATAATCTGTAACTAACTATTTTTAAATGTTTCATTTTATAATTACATTTAGTTGCATTTTTTTTAAAAAGTTAAATAATAGAATTTAGCAAGACAATATTGATTTTTCCACTGTCTAAGATTAATATTTTGCTTTTCTGTTAAACTTAAAACTTTAAGTTATTTATTAAAATTAATATTATTTAATTATTCAGAATATTTTAATGTTAATAAAAGTTTTCAATACAATGAAGCTCTTTAGCGACTCTAA